CCTGATGCAGAAGGTCTGCTATTAAAGCACTAAAAAAAAAAAAAAAAAAAAAAAGTCAAAACCTTGTTTACAACTATGTTAAGTGATATCAATGAAATTTTGCTCTTTTTTTTTTGCAGAAGAGGAAACCCATAAAGTGGACCTGAGTTCTCTGTCAAATAAGCTTCTTCCAGGATTAACAACTTTAGGTTTCAAAGATGACAGGAGACACAAAGGTATGTCATGACGTGCACTCGTGTTGATTCACTTTGTGTTTTTCACGTTAATTGTTCCATTTAACCACCTGAACCCCCTGTTTTTTTCTCTTTTTTTAAAAATTATTATTATCTTGCCACATTGCTCACTGTAGGCAAATTTTTACTGCAATATAAAATCCCACACTTCTGTAAAAACAACACAACCATGGTTACAAGTAGAGAGAACTCAAAAGTGCTGTTTGTGCAGTATAAATCATCAATCATAAAAAGGAAGAAACTAAGCTACATTTTTTCATTTGTTTTACCACCGTTGAAAAAAACAATATTCACAGCATTTTCCCAAGGGCCCACAGGTCTTACCACTGCTGGAAAAAAGGGGGCTCACATTACTATGGATATTTAAGTACTTATATTCTGACATCTACTACAAACTTGACGTTTTTAACTCTACTTTGCACTAGATAGATGTTTCACTGTGCTAAATGTACCTTTTGACACCATGATGACAAATTGCTCCTCTGTAAACCATCTTTGCATTTATTTTATTGCTCAACTATGTTTTGTTTTTCTCTCAGTCTTTCTAATTTGTTACCACACATGTTCTCTCTCTGCTCACACAAACACAGTCTGCATTAGCTGACAATTCCCTGAATTTTTGTCATGTGACTGCCAGTCACAGCTGAGTCACTCAGTTGTGTTGAGGAACACAGAATTTTTAGTTATCTGCACAGTCTGGTGTAAATGGGTTTTGGAGACTTTTTGAACAAGCCATGCAGAATAACAATCTTGATGAAACTTCACAACTTTAAGCTTAGATTTGGTTAGTTGTCCCGCTGGAATTGCACATTGCACATGACGATGAGCATAAAGTTAAAAATCTGATGATTCTTTGTGTTTTTACAGTTTTGGACTCGAATAAATGGTGTAATTAATTTTTATGATTAATGGCATTCAAACCTATCTATGGTTTCTGTGGTTCAGATCACTAATGAATAACAATTACAAAACTCTGATGAAGAACTTGTTGCTGTTCTGTCTCTGTGTAGTGACTTTCCTCAGCAGTGCCTACAACATCCAGAGCCTTCAGAAGAACTCCATCTTCCCAGACTTGCTGTCTGATGAGATGGACACGCTCTATTCAGCCTATGGAGATGACACAGGGGTACAGTGTGCTCTGAGGTAGGACGTTTCTTTGATAGGTGAAACTAATGTTTGAATTTTTTACATGCTAAAGTTTCCAATTCCAGTCTGCTTTTAATTTCTGTTCACCTTGTTTTTTTTCACCTCTTAAGTGTACAGGAGTTTGTCAAGGGCTGCGGAAGTGTCACCAAGCATTGGGTCGATGGGCTTCTGGACAAGATGACCGCAGGCGATCACAGTAAAGCTGTGAGTCAGATTCGACAGGTACAGTCTCTTGAGCATCTCTTGAACCGTTTGCTTTTTTGATGTAAGCCTGTTGCGTTGTGTTGTGATGCCTGTTTTCCATTTCAGAAAAGAAACATAACGCTGAAACCTGATGAAACCAAGTCCAACATCTGTGACATTCAGGTACGTTGTAATTTATTAAGGAGATGCTATATTTTCTTTGTAATGTTTTACTTATCCCCGCTGATTTGACTGTCTGATTGAAGCTGAGTATTTTTTGTTCAGATGAGCGATGGCGCTGGCCTGGGAGAGAGCAGTTCAGTGCTGGACTTCATGTCAATGAAGAACTATCCTGATATGTCTCTGGATATTTCCATGCTTAACTCATTAGGTAAATATCTACACACTGCATGATTTTATTTACATGTATACCGCTAATCCAGTAATAATCTATTTATAGCAGCAAGTTGAGCAATACGGGGTCTTGTAGACATACTCTGATTATGCTAATGTGATACTTCTTACAGTAGCAGTAAACATAAACTTTAATATTTTGGCAGTTGTCACTCTATTTTAAACACATGGTAGTCAAACCCCATTCTAGACAAAAATTTTCAGTATCATGCTTTACTTTCTTTTGAGCTTTAAAATAGGGTGCTGACTGTTTAAAAGCGAGACGCATCTTTCTCTGGAAAAATATCGTTGTAATGTTCTACTGTCCTAACGCGTGTATGAACTGAACAGAGCGGCGTATAGACACACTTGTATTATAAAATCTGCCTTGAAGCCGCTCTGGTGTACTATTGTGGATATCTTTTGTACTAGTTTAGTTTATTTGTGTGTGCGCTTCCCCTCTACCTTTAAAGGCCACCCAGAAGCCAAAACCTCCCTATAAGTGCCCCCCCCCCCTTTCTTTGTTTAATGTTCTTTGTCTTCATCAGGTAAAAGTGTGAAAAAAGAACCAGGGAACGAGGAGGGTCAACAGAATTTTGATGATGCTGACAAACTCCTGCAGGAGTTCCAGGAGGCTCAGGTCGACAGAGTCGGCTCCAGGCCCTCGTCCAACCTGTCTTCTCTATCTAACGCGTCAGAGAGGGACCAGCACCACTTAGGTATCTGCAAGTTATAGCTTCCACTTTGTTGAAATAGCAACAGTAAACCCAGCACAACAACATAACAACAACCATGTTTTCTTTTATTCACAGGAAGCCCGTCACACCTGGGTGTTGGGGACCAGTCTGAAATGGTTCGCGATCCCTACGAGTACCTGCAGTCTCCAGAGCCAGAGGGTTCGGCCAACAGCTGACCACACACACTGCCGTTTTGTCATCCTTGTGTTAACAACACTGGGCACTCAGTGTTGGACTGTTCAAACACTGTGGACGCAACAAGGAGCCTCAGTCCTGCTTTAAAAACTGAAGACAAGTGTACAGACTGTTTGTAGTGTAATTGTTTTTTTTTTTTGTACGAGCGCAACACTTGAAGAATAAATGTTTTTGTCTGTATTTATAAATGTGTGTTGTTCAATTAGCAAACAAAAATCCCTACACAACATCAATATTACTTCAATTTTAAATGATTCAAAATTGTACCCCCTCATAGTATTTACATTATTTATAAGTTGAACAGTGGAGTACCTGCTTTTGTGTGAAGTTACAGGTTCCAACACCTTTTGGACTCATGCAGCCCCGTGTCATTACACTCCTACCTTCATACTTCACTGTCAGGACTATGCATTCACTGTGGTGGTCCTCGCCTGATTTACACCAAACATACAGGACCCTATCTGAGCTGAACAGATTTATCTTGATGTCATCTGACCAAAGAATGTGCTTCCAATATTAATCAAGCTTCTTTTTGTGTTCTTTAGCAGAGTTCTTACAGTTTTGTGCCAAACAGGAAGCACGGTTGTTTTTCTTGAAAGCAGAGATCACAGAAAACTCTGATTTCCATTAATAGCACCTGGCACCAAGTGGGACATACTTGCCCGATTGTTTTTCACAATTGCAGTGTACATTGAGCAATGATTAGTTAATCCTGCAGCTCTGATTACTGGTACTATGGCTCATTCTGTACCTCCTGATTACTGCTGCAACTGTGTTTTTATAGATTGTTAGTAGCTAATCAATCTTCCTGTATCCTCCTCTACCTTTTTGAAATCTTGCATATAGATCTATCTAATCCTCTGATAATTCTTCTCTGTGTGGAGCCATGATGCAGACATGCAGATAGGCACAGTCCATAGGTCCAAAACTGATAAAGTACTGATGTTCACAAGTCATTTTATCAACCTTGTTGATGCAGTTAGGCTAACTGGAAATCACAGATATAATCACAGGTGTTTTTTTTCTTGTGTGTCACAGACTGAAGGTGTGTTATGTACTTGAATCATTTGACATTTAAGTGATTTTGCACAAGGATCCACTTACTTCACCGTGGGAGCACTTGTAAATGTAGCAAATATCAACCGGCATTCAAATTAAGTGTGTTTTACGGGTAAAGGATGTCGGTAGAATGTGTGGCTGCTGTAAAGATGCGCTCTGCGGTCTCAGATTTCTGCAGGAGTGAACTTCCAGTTAGACTTTATATATATGTAATGTCGGGTTTCAGTTTGTGAAGGAAGTGAAAATGAGCAACATTTGCATTCACTATAATGCAATGATCCAAACTTTGAGGGGAGAGATAACCATAAAAAGTCAGGCTATATTTTTGAAAGCAGAAGTGTATTGTGTGCACACATCTGTGTCTGCAGCTTCCTCTTGCTCTCGTGGGAAGAAAAAGTATTGACTATTTAAGAAGGACTTATATTTTCCAGTATGAAAAAGAAGAAGCTATGATTGTGTGTATGATAGTGAAGCTGCATGCTTATTTATTCAGCCAGTGAAGAGCTGCAATAAATGAAGCTGGGTATCTAGAGCTGAGTTGCAGTGCGCATGCGCAGTGGGATAGTTAGTTTCCATAGCTCCGACCTGCTGAGTGAGTTGATTCTTCAACTTCTGACTCACGTCCTCCGCTGACACAAATCCAAGGGCACCGGAGCGTATTTATCCGGGATTAGAGGTGCTTTTTCAGCTGTTTATCCTCGATGTTGAGCTTTTCAATCATGTAGATTTTTACATATTTGAAGCACCTGCCCGGCTCACAAACTAATCATGGGATATTAATCGATGGAAATCTCCGCCCGAAGCTTCAATTTTGTGGTCGCTTTGCTTTTTCAGCAGGAAAAGTAAGTAATTTTTCACGTGTTACAACTTCTTTCACACATTTTCTGTTGGCTGTGGTTGGCAGGAGTTTATCTCGAGGCGTAAAAATACTAGTATTTGTGAGGTATTTGTGAATTAAACATACGGCAGGCTGCTGATAAAGCACTCAACCATTAAGGCAGGTTTAGCTTTAGTTGTCAAGCAAAACAAAAGCAACAGCTGCTAGCAAGACAGCTACACAGGACCATTACCTTAACTTGGCAGCTAATGTTCAACTTCTCACAGATTTCTGGAGCAGATATGAGCAAAAGCTATTAATTGTCAGCTCGTTCAAAAGTTTACAAATTGCTTTTTTTTTTTTCTTCAATTTTTCTTTTTTAGCTAATATGGAGGACTGTGCACAGATCAAGTGTTGTCTTTAGGGTCAAAAGGCAAAAGCAAAACATGTGATTACAAAACCTGAACAAAGAAAGGGGATGTTGCACTTTGTGTTACTGTTACACCCTGGACCAGCTGTTGTTTGCAGCCTTGTCTTGTTATTTATACCTGTTTCATTTCTCAAATACATTGTACTCACTGCGTTCATCTCACTCCATAAATGCAGCTTAATGCAGCAGCTCAGAAAGAAATCCTGTCTTAATTAGATTTATACGGACCAATTAATGTTGTAGAGAAATATTGGTTCAAGTTTTTGAATTTTATGCCATTACACTAGAAAGCTGAGATGGTGACAAAAGATGGTAAGACATTGTGTTAGAGATATTAATGATGAATATTAACCATTTCTTAATTTTTACCAAACAAAACCTCTCATACCCCTGAAAATTGTCACAGTTCTTTGAGAAGTTGCAGCTTCTGTCCCATTTAAATTTAAATTTAAATCCCATTTAATATCTGTCATGTTCTAGATTGTTCTTATATGCTATAAACTGAGCACTGCTGATGCGGTACTTCTCTAGTTAGTTATTTAAACCAAAGAGCTCAGTGAATTGCCATCAGCCATTGCCATGGCTAAGAGGAAGTTGTGCATTGTGGCTGCTCACACGTCGTGGAAAGGCTATGAAGCCATACTGAAGTGTTTTCAAGTGCCAGAAGCCCCAGTGCAAAGCATTTTCAAAATGATCAAGGAGTTCCACACGGTGAAAAATCTCAAAGCGCTGGTTGGAAGACAAAACTGAGTCCTGCACTGGAAAGAATGAAAGCGCAAAAGAAGAATCCAACGATCAGCACCAAGAGCATCCGGATGAACATGAGCAGTTCTGGTAGCAACATCTTAATTGGACACTCCAGCAGACACTGAACAAGGCTGGTCTCCATGGATGCGGAACATGGAGGACTCCACTTATCCAAGACAGACACACAAAAGCTCACCTGGACAACAAAAACAGCTTTTGGTCATTAGCAGTCGGATGAGATGAGAATGGAATTGTTTGGACAGAGAGACCAAGGAAAGGAGACGCATTCAAGCCCATGAACAGCATCCCCACGGTCAAACGTGGTGGTGGGAATGAGAAGGAAGACTGGTCTAAGGAAACGGCATCATGAGAGATGAGGAGCACATTCAGATTGTGGAGGATAACATCAGGCAGTTTGCAGAAAAACTGCTCCTTGGGCAGCTGGAGATCAACACAAAGGAAAAAAATCCCCGTGGAGGTCTGCAGCAGAACTGTTAACAACTGTAACATCTGTTTAATTTATTATGAAAAAAATGTGGGGAAAAAAATCACAATTCACAAAGTCTTAACATCTTTTGTCACTTGTTTATATCATTTCCATCCACAGGAAACCCCCCCAAACGCAAAAAATACAAATTTGGCAAAGATACAAATAATCTTAGGGTTAACTGTATATGTTTAATATATTTCTTTCATTGTTATTATACCAGTGAGGTGGACTTGAATGGCTAGGCTGTTGTAGTTGTGACTATTTGTAGGGCACACTTAGCTAAAGCAAATGCAGTCTGACTATATGTCCATGAGTAACTCAACAGTCCCTGACACAGCTCATTTTCCTAACTCATTTCCCCAGCAAATGTGACCACACTCTATTGGAGCTGGACTCATGTGAATTACATTGTGTGCTTCTAATCTGTCTTCCAACTGTCTAGATGAGCTGCTTCAGTCAGCGGTTGAGGCGCACGGCTCCGATGCGAGGCAACAGCAGAAACGAGCTGGTGCCCTCCAAGCCTCCGAGGATGAACGGATGGTCGTGGCCGCCTCAAGCTTTCCAGGTGGTGGGGTGGCTGGCCTACAGCTACCTCGCCATAGTCAGCTTCGGTATCTATATCCCTCTTCTGCCTGTGCCGTGGAACCATGTGACCTACGCTGTATCCTTAACACGCAGCTGAAACCTCAACTGTCCTTGTATCTGACTATCGAGTGCACATCAGTGGGTCTTTCATATTTGAATATGGAGCAAACATTAGCCTCTGCTGTGGTTTTTGTTGCTGCTCTGCTGGAGAAGACAAGGGTTTTGTTGTGTGGCCTGTATCTGTATGGGCCCCAGTCACACCCGACATGACTCCGTCTCTGTGGTCTCTATCAAAAGACATAATCAGTGGTCTTTTTGTTACATGTTGAATGCTGCATGATGTGTACACGCTAGTTCACTTTACCGCAGCGTCACGCAGCCATAGGAACAGTCGATGTCTTCAGACTTTCTCACACAAAGGATACACTTGTGTCCAACAGTTTGTTGCTCTTGTGCCTCTTGCTGTTCTGCTTTTTTAACTCCACATTTATCAAACATTGCTCTAGTCTTCTCATATTAGTGTTGTTTTCCTTGACTTTGGTTGTGCACAGCTGATGGGCATCGTGTTTATTGTGCACTTTATCACCCACATTGCTGCTGTTACTATAGATCCAGCAGATGCCAGCGTAAGGGCCAAGCAGAGCTATTCCAGTCCGTTGCCTTTTTTTGACCGGACGAAGCAGCCGCATGTTATCCAGGATCTGCACTGTTACCTATGTAATGTCAAAGTGTATGTATCCCGAGCTGCAGCCTCTAATGTGATTTCAAGTTTTATCATTTTGCGATCATAAAGATGTATTAAGTGTAATGATGTAAAACTAAATCTTCATGTAGTGGTCCCAAAGTAAAACACTGTGGCGTTTGCAACAAGTGCGTGGAAGACTTTGATCATCACTGCAAATGGCTGAACACCTGTGTGGGTGGGAGAAACTACTGGTAAGTTCTTGGAAGAACATGTCTTGTGATTCCGAATAAAATGTGGAAGGCTGTGTAGATTGACATGAGGTTTTTTTGTGCTGCTTTCAGGTTGTTCTTTTTGGCGCTGTCCTCTGCTACGATTGGCACCTTTCTGCTCATTGTTGTGGTTTTGTTCATATTTATTCAGCATTACCTGGATCCACACAGCCTACGCACTGCGCCACAGTTTCACAGTGAGTTACTTGGATTTAGTTTTGTTAACTGCATCAATTCAATTTTAGTAACATAGCGTCAGTTCAAAACATGAATCCTTTCAGGCCTATAGCAACATAACTAAGAAATGAGTCACCTGCGCTGAGCCTACCTATAAGCTTTACCATAAAGGACAGTTTTAAGTCTAATTTTAAAATTCGAGTGGGTGTCTGCCTCCTGAACCCAAACTGGAAGCTGATTCCACAGCAGAGCAACCTGGTAGCTGAAAGATCTGCCTGTCACTCTGCTTTTGGAAACTCTAGGAACCACAAGTAAGCCTGCAATCTAAGAGCAAAGTGCTTTAATGGAATAATGTGGGACAACAAGGCCTTTTAAGATATTAGTAATTAAGAAATTTGTATGTAGGGGGAAGGAATTTAAATTCTACTCTAGATTTACATGGAGCCAATAAAGAGAAGCTGATATTGGAGGATCTCTCTTGCTGGTTTCTGCTAGCACTCTTGGACATCCTGATAATAGGGAAGTGCAATAGTCAAGCCTAGAAGTTACAAATGCATGGATTAGTTTTTCAGCATCACTTGAGACAGGATGTTCCTGATTTTGGCATTATTGCATTGGCGAAAGAAGGTCATTCGAGAGACTTATTTTATGTGTGAGTTAATAGGCATATCCTGGTCAAAAATAATGCCAAGGTTCCCCACAGTAATGCCATCCTTATTAAATATACGGTTTGACAGTTTGTGTTTGAAGTGTCTAGGGCAAAATAGAATTTAGAATAAGTAAATTATAGGTCATCCGGGCCTTTTTGTCCTTAAGTCATGCTTAAGTTTGCGTAGCTGATTTGTTTCATCTGGCTTCATACAGTAATATAGCACAGTGTCATCTGCATAGCAATGAACATTTATTCAGTGTTTCCTAATATCGCCAAACAAGGTGAAAAACATTGGTCCTAGCACAGAACCATGTGGAACTCCATAAGTAACTCTTATGTGTGTGAAAGAATCATCATTGAGAACAGCATTATTGTTCATTCTTTTCATAGGTGTGCTGGGGAACACTACCTGGCTGGTCTTTTTACCATTAGCTCCCATAAAAACTAGTTCCGCTGGCCTCCTTATATCAGCTTTTATAACCGTCATGCTGAGCATCACCTGCCTGCTGCTGCTCGGCCATCTGCTGGGCTTTCACCTTTACCTCTGTGAGTCAAATGTCCAAGACAAACATCTGGATTGTTTTCCCCCTCTACCACTTATTAATCCTCAGCATTGTTTCTTCTCCTCTTGACTTAACAGTTTATAAAGGTATAAGCACATATGATTACATAAAGATGCAGCGCCAGAAAGAAGCCAGAAGTCGAGACAGTGAAGGAGGAAGTCCTCATGATGCGAAAAGCCATAACAAGACTCCACAGGTGAGTCCTGCCTTCTGCTACTTACTGTTATTCACATGTAGAGTCTGTTGTGGGTAAAAGCATTTATGTTTTCCTTTTAAAGAGCCAAGCGGGCTCAATTGACTGTGAGCCAGCATTATCGCAGAGCTCAAGGTAAAGATATTTTCTTACAGTTCTTGTTGTATTAGTATTAAAGCTAATTTTTCAAAGAAAATTAACGCCACTCCACTTTTTCTTGTAGTTCCTGCAAGTTTGACGATAGAGGCCCACTGAGCAGCCGAATATCAGAATCCATATGTACAGAGGTAAGCATCATGTATCATTTGAATAATTTCACATTGTTTAAATTCGTCAGTGTATTTTACAAAATTTCCAAACTTTCGGAAGAATTATAGTACAAGTACAGCACTAGTCAAAATTGTAAACAGCCTCAGGTCCAATGTGGATATAAAGAATGCAATGTATTAGTACTATGTGACCTTATTGCAGCCTTTGAAACTGTAGACTATTTGATTCTTTTAGACAGGGTTTAAAGTCTCATTGGCCTCTCTGGTAATGTCTTTAAATAGTTCAATCATCTAAAAGCTATTGAACCAATTATGGCGTTCTTCAAGGTTCAATTAAAGGGCCTGCACTTTTTTACCTTTTAAGTGGTGCCACTTGGAAACATCATCAAGAGGCACGGCATCAATTTTTATAGTACACTGATGACAAACAGCTACGTATTGCCTCCTGGTGACCTACAGTCAATCAATGCCTTTTTGAACAATGTTTTAGATATTTAGTTACAGATGGCATTGGATGGCATTTTCTACAGTTCAGTCAGGAGTAAAGTAAAGCTATTTTTTTGCTAGTTTTCTTTTGTCTTTAAAGCCTTTTGTGTTATATTCTATTTGTATGAAAAGTTCAAAACTTCCTGATTGACTGATGAACAATCTGTTTTTGTTATAGCTGGAAAACTTTACGAAATCAGCCGAGAAGGAGAATAGCTTCCGTTATGGCACAGAAAATCCCACAGATAATACAGACAGTGAGTATTTGACTGCACTGGAGAAACAAAAACATAACAGATATGCCTTGCAATGTAATGCAAATAAATACAACAGAGTTAACGCGCCTTTCTTGCATTGACAACAACATTTAAACCATGTGTTTCATATTTAAACAGGATTGTTTGACGGTGATGCAGTGTCCAAATAACACCTCTTGTCTCACTTGTCTCAAAGGGGAAATGAGTGAAGTAAAAAGCTGGAAACCCGTCGACGTTGAAGAGGCTCAGAGCTCCAGCGTAAAGTCTGTGGACGGCGTTCCTGGAGTCCAGGATCCTCTGGGTAGCTCCATCATGACTCCAGATGATACTTAGCAGCAACTGATGTCTTCATCGCGGTGGGTCAGAATATGCTGCTCTCAGGAACAACTTGTTATGATTTTCTATTTCATGAAGGATGTGTTGGACCTGGCACTAGTTTGATGCACATCATGAGACTGTTTTAAATTTTTATTCTGTATGCCGCCTCAATAACTGTGAATGTGTCATTGGGTTTTGTTCTTTTTTATTTTTGTACTGTGTTTTTATGACAATTGTTGAATTATGTAAAGCACTGTTTTATCTTATGTGGAGAGCCAAAGTCCTGCCCCACTGCCGGGCTAGTCTCTGCTCCACCAGCCTCAGTCAGATCAGATGTATTTTGGCATCTTCCTGAAGATACGATGCAACACTGGCGCTTAGTACTGCACTGAGCATCTTGTTGCTCATGCTGTATCTGATTGCCAAAGAGGGAACCTTACATGGAAGAATACTCTGTCTAACTGAAAGCAGTGGAGCAGATACTTGCTTGAAATAACACTTCAGCTCTCTGTTTCTGTTTTTATTGAACCACAAGAACGTTTTAGCTAAGTTTGATAGTAAAGACAATAAATATACCATGTTTTTCCTACTGACTTTTTCTTCTTTAATCTACATAATGATATTGTGACACTATAGAAAGACAAATCCACACCTCCTCCCGCCTATACATGTTTCCAAAGTGCATGTGCATATTGTAGGCTGAATGAGTCTCTATTGACTTCCTTTGCTGGCAACATCTTTAAAAACATCTTCATCAGCAATAGCTTTGACAGCAGCTAAGACCAGTGGTGGAAAGTTACTGAATACATTTAATCAAGTACTACACTTAAGTACATTTTGAGGCACTGGAGTGTTTTCATTTGATGCTACTTTATCTTTACATTTCAAAGAGAAATATTGTACTTTGTACTCTTCTGACAGCTCAAGTTACTTTTCAGATGCAGGTTTCATAATATGACAAGCTTTTAAAATACAACAAATTGTTTGAGATCAAACCAAACTTTTGTAGTCGGACTCACATTTTAGGTGTCTGAGCTGTTATCAGTGCCACCAAATACCGATTTTTCCCTGCAAACTTCTCGTGTGGTTTCAGTCCCATAAATGTTTCAGTGATTTAACATATCAGCAAAAATCAAGGATTATAGAAAATCTGATCTGTGTTTTTGAAGCTTGTTTTTTTTCTTTCACAATAATTGCGAAAACTATATAAAGTAGTTTGAACTAGCTCCACCTACAGCAGCTCCACAGTAACATGCTGCCGACACACTGATGCTTCACTATAATACTCTCATGATGTTATAAATAATAATATATCAGTCACAGGAACCAAACAAGTACTTTCTTTAGTACTTTAATTGCACTTTGCTGCCAATACATATGTAGTTTTACTAAAGTAGGATTCTTCATTCAGGATTTTCACTTGTAATTATCAAGTTTTATTCCTGTATTGGTACGTTTATTTAAGAAAATGATCTGAATACTTCTTCCACTGTTGGCGAAAGCCGTAAGAAAATTTATCCATCAGCTACAGCTTTGACAGGAGCTAAACCTTACATCTGGCCAAACACAAAGCGTTAGGGTGAGTTTTTGTTGAATGCAATCCAAATAAAGTCCTGTTTTGTCTCGTGAAAGCCACACAAAACTACAAAACTTTTGCACAGGTAATGCACATTTAGGGGCTGTTGACAAAAACACATCTTAGAACTCAGAATATTTTACATCTGTTAAGTAACATTAAATGAATTTCTGTACATTTAATCATATGACTGTGTGTCTATATAGATGAATGACAAAAGATGAGGAGTTGCAGATCCATTCAGCAGACCTACAGGCAGTTGCAGGGATGGGAAAAGGGAACTGATTGTTATTTTGACACTAAAAATGGCTTGGAAGAAGACATGTCTGAAATAAACTTACCTATTTGACAGAAGAGTGGCCAATTTTGAAGGCAAGTTCATAAGTGTTAATGAGAATTAATTAAAGAATTAATTAAAGAATACACAACTAAGAATATAAATGGTAGGTGGAGATGATACATAACAATGCTCGTCTTGCAGGAATTTGGTACCTACAGGGTGAATTTCAGAGGCGATACATATAAATGTGTATTTCATTGGGAAAATTTGACAGGAACAATAAACACGTTTAGACATTGCTGAGTATAAAGGTACACATAATTAAAGTCATTTATAATTTAAACTGCAAAAAATGTAAAACAAAACTTCCACAACTTTTGTGTGTTTTAGGCAACTGTTTAACATTTCCTACTGATACAGACACAGTCCAGCTTTTAAATGAAACTTTGCTGCGCTGAAGTGAATCAAGAGGAGGCTCTGCAGCACTTTAACTCAGCAGCACCTCATGATGACTGAGCCAGCTGCTCTGCTGGGCCTGGATAACCTGATTACTGGTGGCAGAGCAGAGCCAACTGAGCTGCTGCTGAAATTTCCAATTCAATGATGAGGTAGGAGACACTTTTTTATGATTATCCTTTTTACATACCCTTCTGATAGTTGCTCCCTGTGATGTTTTATATGATTCAAGCCAGCTTTCGCTCAAGAAGAACGCATTCTGTTGTTATCAGTATTCCAAGCATGTGTGTGTCTCTCTCTGTTTCATCAAGGAGTTTCGGTGATTGCATTTTAATCAATTTTCTTATATATTTTCTTCAAGAATTTGGAAACTTTGTTGCAGCCAATTCATAGGCTATCATATATTTTTACCACTAGAGGGCTGTAGTCACTGGGTTGTGTTTTAAGATAATAAGTGAACAGGAATCTGGTTTTATGAGTAGATATAGAAATTTTGTGGTCTTTCTTTCACAATCACCGAACCTCGTTTTAGAGAGAACTGCCTGTGATGGGAACCAGCCTCCTCCATCGATAGACACGTCAATCTTGTTGGTAAGAATTTCTCATATGGCCTGAATTAAATGTCCTAAAAAAAGTCACTTTCAGTTTTCAGATCTCACATAATATTGAAAAGAAGGACAGAGCTACGGTAAATAAGGCCTTTTTCACCCCTGAGAATTTTGACTCATCATAGTAGGAAAAGCACAGGAGTTAATAAAAATAATAATTTTCCACTGAAGTGTTGCAAAGGATTCAGCTGCCTTTGATTTTATACTTACTACATATTTGTCCTGCTGTTATCAAATGTGAAATATGTTTTTTTTTTTAGGGTTGGTTTGGTCACAGATCATTAATTCATGTTGCAATTAAGCAAGTAAACAAGTGTTTTTGTCAGTATTGTTAATATGCATTTAATATAATTTTTGCCTGCTGCTTCTATTTATAATCCATCCATTATCTATACACCGCTTAATCCTCACTAGGGTCGTGGGGGGCTGGAGCCTATCCCAGCTGACTCAGGGTGAAGGCAGGAGACACACTGGACAGGTCACCAGTCTATCACAGGGCCACACTTAGAGACAGACAACCAAGCACACTCACATTCACACCTACGGACAATTTAGAATCACCAATTAACCTCAACATGTTTTTGGACTGTGTGGGAGGAAGCTGGAGAACCCGGAGAGAACCCACGCTGCACGGGGAGAACATGCAAACTCCACGCAGAAAGATTCCGGTGCCCCCACGGGGACGCGAACTGGTGACCTTCTTGCTGCGAGGCAACAGTGCTACCAACTGCGCCACCCTGCAGCCCCCTCTATTTATAATTTTACATGAAAATGGAATTAACATAACAAAGCAGCACAAAATCCTGTCAGAAGAAAAACCACAGAGAAAATGTACTGGAGCATCTAAAAACATAGTAAAAAAGTTTAATATTTTCTATCAGTTTTTTTTTTTTAAATGTGAAAATTTAATATATTCTCGCCTCAGTACATGTAAAGTGAACTATTTTGCACCTTTTTTGTTTTAATGCTGATGATTCTGACTTATCGCTCATGAAAATGAGAAATCTCAAAAGTTGAGAACGCTTAATTTCACAAAACTTTTTGAAATATCCTTCAATTCAGTTTTATTTGTAGAGCGTCAGTTCACAACTTAACTTAGTAAGATCAAGACCTTGTATTGTATTTATACAGAGAAACACAATGAATCCAGGTGATTTCCTTTGAGCAGCACTTTGGATGAAAAAAAAACTGTCTTTTAGCGAGAGGAAACCTCCAGCAGAACGAGGCTCAGGCAGGGCAGAGAGGAGAGAGAAAACAGACAACATGTAAGACAACAATAAACACTGCAGAAGGTTGGCGAGGCCGCTTCAGAAACATGAACGCCTGCACAGAGGACAACACACAAACTACAGGAGAGAGAAGACAAGTTAATGACATGCACTGAGGGCATATAAATGCAAAGGTGGTGAAAAAGAGGAGAGCAGAGGAGAGGTGCATCATGGGAAGTCCACAGCAGTCTGAGCATACAGCAGCACAACTAAGGGATGGTTCACCTGAGGCAGCACTAACTCTAAGCTTTATGAAATAGGAAAGTTTTCAGCCTAGTTTTAAAATAGAAAAGATGTCTGCCTTCTGAACCCAAACTGGGAGCTGATTCGACAGCAGAGGAGTCTCAAAGCTGAAGGATCTGCCTCCAGTTCAACAATAATATAATATGACACAGTGAGGTCTTTAAGATATAATGAATCTTAGTCATCAGGGGCTTTGTATGTGAGGAAAATGATTTTAGATTCCATCCTAGGTTGTACAGGAAGCCAGTAAAAAGAAGCTCAAATGGGAAAATATGGTTTCTCTCTTGTTGGTTCCTGTCAGAACTCTGGCTGCAGCATTTTGGATCAACTAGAAAGTTACTGGGACTTTCTTATAACAAGGAATTACAAGTATTCCAGCCTAGAAATAACAAATGCATGGACTAGTTTTTATGATAAGATAAATCCCAAAGGAACTTTTTGTGCCAGATATTGCTCAGAAAAAAAGACCCTAACAGCAATGCAGTGCCTAAAAAGTAGAAAGCAATAAGATATGAGTGCAATACAATACTGAAATAAAATTAGTAAGCTAAAGGGCAAGAATAAGGCGAGAATAAAACATTAAAAATAATGCTGGCAATTATACTGAGGCAATAAGTAACATTACACATGAAACATATCTGGAAAATGAAATATTGCACATTGACAGTGTTTTTCAGCATCACTCTGAGACATGATGTTTCTAATTTGGTGAAAGTAGGCCATCCTGGAGACTTGTTTTACATGTGAGTTAAAGAACAAATCCTGGTCAAAAACAACTCCAAGATTCTTTACAGTCGTACTGGACGTCAATGCAAAGCTGCCAGTATGCCGACTTTCTGTCATGTCTGAGAGAAAAAACAAAAG